TCCCACACCAGGAAGGCAGAGAACAAATCCTAACAGAGCTGAAAATAAGCAAGGAGATTGGCAAGCAGGGAAGGTTCAGGCCCAGGCAGCTACTGGAGTGTGCTCCTCCTTGGAGCACAGAGAATCTGTTAATTCAAAGGACAATGAAGCAGGAACAGAAGTGCCCTTGGTTCAAGAAGAAGACAAGCGCACCCTCGTTTCTCTTTCTTCCCCCTCCTCTCCCCTTCATACATCAGGATTTGCATCTACCATGGTGCCTTTTGCCTCACCCAACTTCCCAGGTAAACCTGAGACCTGCCCTGCAATGCATGTGTCATTCCCTGGCCAGGTAGCTCAGACAGGCGTCTTCAAACTACGGCCTGCGGGCCACATGAGGCCCACAGAGGAGTCTGATCCGGCCCGCCAGGTTTTTTGGGCAGTGAGCGCAGCCGAGGTGTTACAGTAGGAATTAGTAGTTCATATAGTCCGGCCCTCCAGCTCTCTGAGGGACCGTGATCTGGCCCCCACTTTAAAAAGTTTGAGGACACGTGGGTTAGAGTGTTGTCCTCAAATCCAAGGATGCAGGTTCGAGCCCTGGTTGGGTCAGGACACATACAAGAATCAACCGAAGGCCGAATCCGGTGTGGCTCAGTGGATAAAGCATCAGCCTACAAACTGAAAGGTCCCAGGTTCGATTCCAGTCAAGGGCATGTACCTTGGTTGCGGGCACATCCCCAGTAGGGGATGTGCAAGAGGAAGCTGATTGATGTTTCTAACTCTCTATCCGTCTCTCTTCCTCTCTGTAAAAAATCAATAAAAATATATATTTTTTAAAAAAATGCAATATCTATTTAAATAAATAAATAAACGGAAGCCTTGGGAACTGAGCTACTCGTACCCACTCTTCATGAAAAAAAAAAAAGAAAGAAAAAAAAAGGCAACCAGATTTTTTGGTATTAAGATGACAACATTTGTTATTTAGAAAGAAAACTGACAGTATTACCTTCCAAAGTGTGTGCGAGGAGAGAGACAAGGTGGGCGAGTGTGAGTAGGCAGTGTGTACTTGTGAAAACGACACGTCTGCCCTGTTCTCACTCACGTCTGGAAATGGAGACAGAGAGAAAGGAGACGGAGAAGTTTCCAAGTCTCTGCCGGAGCTCCTGGGCTGTGGAAGGGGATGCCCCCTCCAGTGGGGAGCCCTCAGTTTTGCAGAGACAAGCACCAGCCTTACAGTGTGCAAAGAGAGGATCTGGCGGCAGACCCTGGGGGAACACTCCGCTCCGGGGAGAACCGTGAGAGGACGCCAAGGAGGGTCTCGGGGAGGAGAGGGTGCTGGGAATCGGGCAGGAGGCCGGACTGCCAGGAAAGGTCAGTGAGGTACTCCCAGCAGCGACATGCTATAGGACTGTTGAGACTGAGTCGTCTGCTTTGCTGCAAAGTAAACCCTCTCCCCCCTTTGCCCCCATCCTTTAGGAGAGCTGCTCACACAGATGCTTTTATAGGAAGGAATCCAGGAGCAGGTGCCAACTTTCATGACTCCATCCTCGATGAGCTGAGAAAATCAAGAACGGCTGAAGGAAGTAAGATGCAAATCCACCTACCTTCTCTCCCCCCGTCTCCTTCCTGCTCACTCCTCCCTGACCTTCCTCTTTCTCTAACACGGCTCCATGCTTTGCATTTGCTGTTCCCTCTGCTGACAGCCGCAGTCACCCCTCAACCCTTCTGCTCCAGTGCTGTCTCCTCACCGGCCATTGAAACCTCAAAGGCAGACCCAACTCTTCCCCCTTCTCTGCTTGGTTTCTTTTTTATCACTATTATCATTAATCCTCACCCAAGGATATTTTTTCCATGGATTATTTTTTTAGAGGGAGTGGAAGGGAGAGGAGAGGAGAGCAAAGGAGAGGAGAGGAAAGCAGAGGAGAGGAGAGAAGAGAGAGAGAGAGAGAGATGGGTGTGTGTGTGAGAGAGAGAGACAGATGGGGGTGTGTGTGTGTGTGTGTGTGTGTGTGAGAGAGAGAGAGAGAGAGAGAGAGAGATGGGTGTGTGTGAGAGAGAGACAGAGGGGTGTGTGTGTGTGTGTGTGTGTGTGTGAGAGAGAGAGAGAGAGAGAGAGAGAGAGAGAGAGAGAGAGAGAGAGAGAGATTGATTGGTTGACTCCTGCATGTGCCCCAACCAGGGCCAGGGATGGAACCGGCAACCCAGGTCGGTACATGCCCTTGACTGGGGAACTGAACCCTTGACCTTTGATACACAGGCTGATGCTCTACCACTGAGCTACACGGTCAGGGCTCCTTTTGTTTTGTTTTTTAACAAGAGAAAGTTCATTCAGGAAGTCACGGAGGTGGGAGGAGTGAGCAGGAGAAGAAATGGGCTCAGGCGGCGACAAGCCTGGTGGACGAGGCAGGGAGAAGGGGAAAGCATGTGTGTAGTCCTGGGAGGGAGAGCACGCTGCTTTACTTATTTTTCTAGCGCTTACCTCTTTTTAAATTTCTTTTCTGCACTTATCTCCTTTTAATCCATTACATATTTAATGTATTAATTTTATGTATTGTCCTCTCTGCCCCTCTAGAATGTAAGCTCCACAAAAGCAAGGACTTGAGCCTTTTTCTGTTCCTGCAATATCCCAGGTATGGAGGCTAACCAAGAGAGCTGGCACGTTAAGTCAGTGTTGGTTGAATGAATGAATGTAGAGTTGGGTGGATGCCCTTGTCCAGAGTCAGATCAGCTTCCTACTGATAAAAGCAGAGGACTCATTCTCAACAGTCCGTTGTGATTTAGCCCAGTTATTAATTAACAGGAAAGAAGCAAAGGGGAGGCCGAATCCTATAGGCATGGGATTTCCGCAGCTTTTCCTGGAAGCTGCAGGGTAGACGCCCCAGGTCTGTTCCCCGCCCTCGGAGGGAGAGCCGGGGGGAAGGGACTGAACCACCGGGAGGGCACACGCATGCCCAGTGAAGTCTGGGTGACAGGGCGGGTGCTTATCTGCGGTCACACCTGGGAGCAGGCCATTAGCCAGAGCAGGTGTGGCCGCTGCCAGGGTGGGGAGGTTTGCGATAGCTGATCTCCGGGATGAGGGAGGTCACTCTCTCTCGGTGCCCTGGCTCTCTTGGTTCCCGCTCTGGTGCTTTTGTGTCCTCGGGTCTCTGGAGACTCCGTGGAGGGGGCACTCTCTTGGCTCCCCTGCATTTGCCCACAGCGATGTGTGGACCCCACACAAGGGACTGATGGACTACAACTAGCCTACTGCTCTCCCGGGCCCTACTCCTCCCTGGGATGGAAGCTTTGGACACCGGCTTTGTTTTTATTATTTATTTATTTACTGAGAATTTTAGTGAGTTCATTTGAGCCAAACTGTCGACGTATGCCAGGAAGCAGAACCTCAATACCTCAATAAATTGAGGTAATGCTCCCACTGGCTTTTTGTTTTGTTTCTTTTTGTGTTTTTTTTACTGGCTTTGTTTTTAACTCGACTGAGTCCCCAGCTGCACATCTTCCAGGACTGGATTAAGAAAAATGGGACTTTGAAAACCCAAGGATGTAATTCCATGAAAACAAAACTTTCTACCGCATCTCCAGAAATGCTTATCTCAGTAGCACCCAACGAACCCCACTCCCACTAGCAAAGGAGATAAGCAACCCACACACTTCTCCGATAACACGACCGTCGGCAGATATCTCCTGGAGGGCATTACACTTCCTGCAGGATGAGCGAACCATCCCCGGTCACCCCTCAAAGGACAGGGTGCTCTGTGGCATCTGGGTACACACGCTCCCATGTGTGCCAACTGGCTAGAGAAAGGAATGTGGTTACCGTTGTAAACCCGGTCATTGCACCTAACACAGTGTTTATCTTATCTGTCGGCTTCTTGAAGCTGCTGTTACTACTGACACACAAATGATTGTGGTGCGTCCATTTTCCTACACATTAATTTGGAGGTCAGTGTCAAAACCTAGGTGTGTTCACAGGGTTGTCTCAAGCTCGATAGTCATACCACACATGGTATCTCACTCATTAAGAACTTCTGCCCTAGGTGATGAGTCTAAACTCAGCAGGTAGCCTGGCCTTCACCGGGAACTTTCCTTGTCTTTAAGGCCTGCCATTCCTTCTGCCCGCGGTGTCCCTCCTGCCTGGGAAGATGTAGTGATTTGCTGATGAGCTCTGGGGTGCAGCTTGCCACACTCATCCCCCTTCTTCTGGAGACAACACGGATTTCCTTTTGGGAAGTCACCTGCCCCCATGCGTGGGCCTTGCGGTCAGGTGTAGCCCATGCTAGTTTTAGGGGTGTAGACACATGGCCCAGGCCAGGCACGCACACATCGGAACCAGCTGCTCTTCCTCACTACAACGAATGCGGCAGGAAAGCACTGCCTTCGAGCTGTCCACTAAGCACTGGCTCTAAGACGTGAGTTCCTTAGCAAGAGGAACTCTCTCTGCCTCCGATGCCAACTTCATGGAATGCAAGTCTGGAGCTGTTGCTGCCACCACATCACCAGAGAGGCTGAGCCAAGAGATGATTCCAGTCACATCTGTGAGCACCTGGGAGCAGCCCAGCCTGGGGGCTGCTAAGATTGTGAATGCTACTGTCTTTTGCTTCCCAAGCCAGTTTAGATCGGGTTGGTCAATTTGGAGGCCTATCCTCTGAGGCCTCCTCAGATGTCACCTTCTGTGTGAAGTGTTGGCAACCCTTCATCCCCACCCCCACCCCCACGTCAGGAACCCGTCTCTTGCAGGTCTGCCCCGTGGCTCCTGCACTCTCTGTACTCTGGGCACCAGCCTCCCAGGAGAGGCTGCGGTTGAGGGGAGAGGCTGTGTGCGATGCTCACTGCCTCCCAGCCTTCGCGAAGCCTGGGCCAGGCTGAGCAGCCTTCTGGAGTCGATGTTGCGGCCATCGGTCACACCTGCTCTTCTGGGAAGGGAGTGCTGCCGCCTTCCTTCTGGGGACAAGGCAAAAACCTAGCACAAGGCTCCGGCTCCTTCTAGGTAGGCCTCTCCCTTTTTAACACGCACAAGGAGACCCATGTTGGCAAACACGTATTGCTTTATTTAGTGTTTCTCTGGATCGCAGAAGTGTCAGCAGTGGGCCGAGACCCCGGAGGCAGGGCAGCCGCGGCCCAGGCTCTCTGGGGAGGCGTGAGGGGAGCCGCAGCAGGAAGAGGGACGCCCCCGCAGCTCCTCCCCAGGGTCCCACACGGGGGCAGCTCGGGGCACGGCAAAGGCCTCACATCCTGGAAACGGGGCCAGTTATGGTGAGCGGGGTATTTGTCACCAGAAGGCATGGACTCAGGCAGAAGGGCTTCTCCTACCTGGTGGCCCCAAAGGTGATTGCTGGTCAGGGAGCCACATGCGCCCTAAGACAGGTGCCTCTTTTCCGGGGCCCTGTTCCTGGGGGAGGCAGTGAGGTGTACTGAGGACAGGGCTGCAGTCCTGGCTCTGCCCCAACCTGCTGGTGAAGGACGGGCAAGTCCCGTCCCCTCTTTGGGCTGCTGTCTCCGGCTCTGTCAACCAGGAGGCTGGCCTCAGTCTTGCACATTTTGTGGCTGAGACGCCTTCCCCACTCCAGCCTCAGGCTAGGCTGATATTGAAAGAACATTGTTAAGGCAGAAAAAGGGGGCAGGCAAGGGTGCTCTCAGCCCCCAGAGGATGCGGGAGCGGCCGCAGAGGATCCAGGTGGGCAGACAGGCAGGCAGACAAGGCGCCGCCGAGGGAACAGGAGGACAGAGTGGCCTGAGCAGGAAAGGGCACCAGGCCCAGACCACTCCGCCTCTGAGCTACGTTCCCTGCCCGGCTGGAGTCGGGGAAAACACATCCAGTGTGTCTGGGGGTGGGAAATGGCTAAAAAAAATAGTTTCCTATAAAGCATCAAAAAATCTCAGAGAAAACCTCGGCAAAAGTTCCCTTCTCTCAAATATTTGGCATCGACAGTGGGGCTGGCGTGTGTGCCTCTGGCCCCGGCTTTCCTATTGCTGTGGCCCGGCCTGGCCCACTCCTGGGGCAGCTCCCTGACCACTCCCTGCAGCGCCCTCAGGAGAGGGGCGAGGAGGAGACGGGAGTTTGTCGGTGGGCTTCGAGGTGTCCCTGGGTCCCTGTCTGGAAGCTCGAGTCTTTGGTAACGGGAGGGGAAGAGAGGATAAGCAAAGCGTTGGGAGGTGGGCGGGTCCAGGGGGCACCTTCATCACCGCGAGTTCAGCCGCGGGGCCACCTGTGGGGAAGGGAGAGCCCAGTGTGAGCGGGAAGCAGACAGAGGCCACTGGGCGCTTGTCTTCCTGGGTTAGGAGCCTGCGGCGGAGCCTGGTCCTGCAGACTCGGGTCCTGCTCCACAGCCGGAGTGGGTCTCTCTTCCGGCCCAGCACACCCCCGGCCCCGTTTCCCCGCCCCACGCTGCCATCTCTGCACCACAGGGGCTCAAAAGGCCCCTCACTCTGGCCCCAAATGGGCAACAGGATGACAGGGCTGGTATGATACCCAAGCTCTGCCAAGAGACACCTTGGTCACCGGAGGCTCCACCCCAGTCCCAGGGCCCACTCACCACAGCCAGGTGACCGTTCTTGGCCTTCGCGATGAGCAGCTCTGAGCCGGGTGTGAAGTCGATAATGCCGTCCCTGCCAGGGCCCCCTGCATACGTGATGCTGGAGGGGAGGGTGTGTGTGAGGATTGCCCCCACGTGTGCACTCAGCCCCTCGCCGTGCCTACCTGCCTTACCTGCCCTGGTTGATGTTGATGTTGTTCACACGGTCAGCGCTAAGGGCCATCTTGGTCAGTGTCTCAATCACATGGTCACTCTGCAGCACCACATCCCCCTGGGGGCCAACAAGGGGTGGGTTGGGCTCTGCCGTGACCTACAGAACCCTCCCCCACACCTCCCCGGCCCCCCTCACCTTCTGCTTATTGTCCTCGCGCTGCACGTGCAGCACAAAGAGGCTGTCGCTCAGGCTGCTGACGGAGATTCCTGAGGGGGAAGGGCAGAGGTCAGGGATCAAGGTCAGCGCAGGGGCCTCCCTAGGCAGCCCTGGACTCCGGCTCACCGGTCAGGTTGGGGTACTCAATCCTCTGCTTGACTTTGGCGTCCTCCACGATGACCACGGCGTTGGGCGTCAGCAGCAGTTGCCGGGGCCGGGGTTTGTAGCCCTTTCGGTCATATTTCACCACGGGCACTGCGTACTGAGGACAGGGGCGGGGTGAGGGGGCTCCAGGGACAGCCCCCTCGCCCTCTGCCCCGGCCCAATGCCCCAGCCCTGAGGTCTCACCTGGATGGGCTCAGTGCCCAGGGCCTGCAGCACTTTGGAGCTGATCTCGTCTGCACCTGCACCGGGTGGGGGAGGGAGGTCAGCAGGAGCGGGGGGACTGGACGGTGATGGAGGGTCTGACGCGGGAGAGGCAGGGGCTCACCAAGCCGCGTGCTGATGAAGAGCCTGGGGACGCTCTGGGGGTAATTGTCCTTCTTGCCCTTGAAGATCTCACTGGCCACGGCTTTCTGATGCAGCTGAGGAGACAAGGGCGGGAGGAGGGCTGTCAGGCTGGGGCCTATCAGAGCCTCAGAAGCTGAGACCGCCTCCTTCACCCTCTTTCCGGCCCCGACAGCAGGAGGCGAAGCCCTGCCACCAACACCCCCATGGACCCTCCTCTGCCGCACCCCCGGCTCCACCAACCAAGGCGGAGAGTTCCCTGGAAGGGTCCCGGCGGCACTGCCAGGGTGCAGGCCCTGGGACCCCGGCTTCTGCGTCAGCATGGGATCTGACCGACTGCTAACACTCCAAACTGCTGCAGGTTACCCGAGTGCGCGTGTCCTGAGCATCGCCCAGGACTGAGTTGGCAAATACAAGGCACATCGACAGCCCGTGTCTGTCTCCAAAACCACGGCAGACATTGCCAGCCGGTGAGACTTCAGCTGCACCTTTCAGCACAGGCCGCTGGGAAGCCTCTGCTGCCCAGTGGAGTTGGCCCAGGTGAACCCTACTTTCCACCCACAAACTACTCCAGCTTCTGCTTCATACGTGAGGCCAGAGAGGGGCTGGGATCCATGAGGTCACGTGGTAAGTCAGGAGTAAGGTGCTCCCCCGGCTGGCACGCTCCAAGTGGTGCCACTGCCCCCGGGCCAGGCCACACCTGCCTCTGGCTCCCTGTACCTGCTGCTTCCACTCGGGGCTGATGCTCCGGCAGTACTTCCACACCATGTTCTTCCTGCACAGCTCCCGCAGCAGCTCCGAGGCCTGTGGGCGCGACACAGCAACTCAGGGCACCGGGCAGCTGGCTCCCGCCCCTCTGGGGCAACAGGCCTATGCCCACTACCGGGCTCTGGCCTACGCGACATCCCCTCAATCTGGACAACCCCTTCCATTCCCGAAGGGGTTTCTCTCCAAGGCCCGGCCCCAGCTCCACTCCCCTGGGGAGCCCTCCTCACTGCTCCTCTGGCCATGCTAATCGGCCCCTCCCGAGTGCTTGGAAAGCCCACGTCGCAGGGAGGGCCGCGGACCTCACGCAGGGCGGGGGGCGGGGTGGGCCAGGAGGTGTCCAGGACGTTCCGGGGCAGCTGCCGCCGCAGGTTGAGCAGAAAGGAGGTGCGCACGTGGTCCAGGAAGAAGGCGTTCTCGGGGCAGCGGGGTGCGTGGCGCAGGATGAAGCCTCGGATGAGCCTGGGGGGTGGGGGTGAGACGTCTGCAACGGACCCCCACACACGGCCGGCTCTGCACCCCCCGCGGGGCCCCAGCGCTCACCGCCGGACAGTCTGCGCTGCCCACTTCCTCTTGGCCGCCTTCCTCCGTCCCAGCGTTCCCCGCCACCAGGACTGGATGCAGATGGCTGCGGAGACCACAGATGGCTGACCTCCCCGCTCCCCGGGGCGCCCCACCCCGGCCCCAGCCCCTGCCCCCCCAAGACCGCTGGGCCCGAACCTGAGCGCTTCACCCGGAGGAACTTCTGCCGCCAGTGGAAGCCCCGCCAGGAGGCCTGGATCTGGGTGGCTGTGGGAGAGAGTCGATGGGCGGAGCTCGGCCAGCGGGGCCTGGCTGCCAGAGCTCACCGAGTGAGAGGACGAGGGAGCTACTGAGTGAGAGGACGAGTCAGGAGGGAGAGTAAGTGAAAACAACAGGAGGCAGCACAGGCTCAGCGTGTGTACCAAGGACAGGACAGATGGCGGGGCTGGGGCTGGGGCTGGGGAGGAGGAGGGCAGCTGATTGTGGCGAGGCGGACTTCCTGAAAAAGGAGCCCAAGTGCAGTGATTTACTTCCTGCTCCCCAGATGGACCCACCGGGGCGGGAAAGGGGGGGCTCTCACCCAGGCTCTGCCTCCGGACCTCCAGCGCATCCTCTGTGGCAAACAGCGTCTTGGGAAACCGGATGAAGATCTTGGTCCTGGGAGGGCAGCAGTGATCAGCCCCTGGTTGGCATCCCCATGCCCTCTAGACCCCAGGAGTAGGCACCACTCACCTGCCCATCTTATACTCTTCTGGCTTATAGCCGAGGTGCCGGACCAGCACGGCCACCCCGTCCTGGGGCCGGCCTGCCCACGTGGGCCATGTCTCCGGGCACAGCGACTTGTACCTGCGGGGCAGGAGCAGACAAGTCCCGGGCTCCCACCTCAGCCACCACCCTGCCCTGGGGACCCACGCCAGCTTCTCTGGGCACCTGCTGGGAGGCTCCCCTAATGGGCAGCTCATAGAAGGCGTGGGAGGTGGCTCCGTTGTCTCCACTATAACAATGAGGCAGTTAACATTCTCATCTGCCTAAGGCCACGGGGCTGGAAAGTAGCAGAGATGGAATTCACACCTGACTGAGTCCCCAGACCCTACGTCAGGACAACCACAGAGCTGCCTTCTCCTTTCTGAGCGATAGGAACTCTGTCCTCAGAAGCGTTCACCATTTCTCCTGGGGACAGATGTGTGGAGCCTGCCGCCTGCCACGTGCTCTGTGAGGCCAGGCCTGGGGGGAGGGTCTACGGAGCCTGACATCAGGCCTGCAGCTGGAAAGGCAGCTCCGAGCCTCACATCCTGGCTTTGCACCGGGGGGGGGGGGTGTGTGTGTGTGTGGGGGGGGGGGGGTGGGGGTGGGTGGGTGGGGAGGGGCCGTCTTCCCTCCCAGGGTCTACAGGCTCCTACCCTCTGGACCCCTGTCCTGGCGCTGAGCCAGGCCCGCCCCCACCTCTGCAGGAAGGCCTCGTATTTGCGGCGGTAGGCAAAGCCGGCTCTGCGCACTCGCAGGTTCTCCATCAGTCCCAGGTACTTCACCTGGTGCCGGATCAGCACCTCATCGAAGCGGCCTGGAGGGGGACAGGGCCATCAGAGGGCTTCCCGGGCCAGAGGGCCCCAGAGGTCCGCCCACAGCCACGGCGGGGGCCTACCGGGCTGCTTGGCGTCGTTGGGCTTGATGCAGCGGATGTAGGCGGGCTCCTTGGACTGCAGGATCTCCACCAGCTGCAGGAGGCTCATCTTGAACTGGGTGGCCACCTGGTGAGCCGAGGTGATGGGCGGTTGGCTGGAGCTGGGCTAATGCCTCCGACTCCTAGCACAGCCTGTCCCTGGGCCCTGGGGCAGAGCAGCAATTCCCACAGGTACCGCCTCCCCTGCTGGGGCCTTCCTCCCTCCCAGCGGAGGGGCCAGGCCACATCCACCTGCCTCATCACAGTGGCTTGGCCAGAGACCTCAGCCACATGTGTCAAACACAAGGCCCGCGGGCCAAATCCGTCCCGCCAGGCCTTGCAATGTGGCCCGCACCGCGCTGTCATCACTGCACTCCGCTGCGTTTCCATCACAATGACAGTTAATGACTGTTCAGTAAACCATTCGGCCCGCGATTTAGGCTGGATTTTAGATTTTGGCCCCTTCTCTGATTGAGTTCGACACCCCTAGGACCCTCACTGGGGTCTAAAACCCCGCTCAGGCCTCAGCACAACCTCAATCCTTTGGCAAGGACTCTTTCTCTCCTAGAATTCCAGGGCCACTGTTCCCAACCACCAGCCCTGCACCCTGCTAGGGAGAGCCTTCAAGCAGACTCGCAAGCTATCAAGGCCCCATTCGTCACAGGGGCGTAGGCCTGTGGTTCTGGGAGCACCAATAGGGGCAACTAATCCTGTGTATGGGGGAGCGGGCGTCAGGAAAGGCCTCCTGTTCACGCCCCTTCACCTAAGTTTTGCAGGGGTCCTCAAACTTTTTAAAGTGGGGGCCAGATCACGGTCCCTCAGAGAGCTGGAGGGCCGGACTATATGAACTACTAATTCCTACTGTAACACCTCGGCTGCGCTCACTGCCCAAAAAACCTGGCGGGCCGGATCAGACTCCTCTGTGGGCCGCATGTGGCCCGCGGGCCGTAGTTTGAAGACGCCTGTTTTAAAGGTTGTGTAGGAGCCCAGCAAGTGTGGCTCAGTGGTTGAGCATCGACCTATGAACCAGGAGGTCACGGTTTGACTCCTAGACAGGGGACATGCCGGCTGCAGGTTCAATCCTCAGGGAGGCAGCCGATCAATGACTCTCTCTTATCATTGATGTTTCTATCTCTCTCTTCCTCTCCCTTCTTCTACTAAAAAAAAAGGTGGGGGCAATGGGGAAGATAAGGTCACATATGTAATACCTTAATCAATAGAAGAAAAAGAAAGGAAATACCTTAATCAATAAAAGGAAAAGAAAGGATATGTTCAGTGGTTAAAGCAGCATTCTGATACACTGAAGTTGTGGGTTTGATCCTCGATCAGAGCACATATAAGAACCAGCCAACAAGTGCACCAGTAAGTGGAACAACATATCAACGTTTTTCTCTCTCGCTAAAAATAAATAAATTAAAACAAAAAGAGGATAGGAGCCAGCCAGCCAGAAGAAAGAGCGGAGAGAAAGGCATTCCAGGCAGAGGGCAGTCTGAGCAAAGACTTGATGGACACAGTGAGCTACAAACAGGACAAGCAGAAAAAGGAGTGAGAGGCAGGCAGAGGGCAGGATCAGAGCAGGACTCAAGAGTCACACCAGGGAGTGTGAATTTAAAGGTGAGGGAACAAGGGAGCCGCAGGAGAATGTGGAGTAAGGGAATGATAGCAGCTGATTTGCGGTTTGGAGTATCCCCACACAGCAGGTATGTGGGGGATGCTTGCTAAGGGCAGGTGAGCAGCCAGGGGACCAGGGAGGAGGCGGGCTGGCTCAGAGGAGAGAGAACAGTGGTGTGTGCATGCACACAGACAGACACACACACATACACACCACAGGAACCAACACACACAGAAGCTCGTGTGCACATAGCCACGCCCAGCTCCTGCAGGCACTCATCTACGTGCACACACACGCCCCCTGGGGCCTGCACACCGTCTCTGGGCGCTTCTTGTCACTGAGCTCGCTCCGGTCAAAGCACTGGCTCATGATGGGATTCTCCGAGCTGCACATGGTCTGTGAGGGAAGAGCAAGGGATCAAGGTTGTAGGAGGACAGATTCCTGGCGCACTGGCCATTCGGGGCCAAGCCTGGAGACCTCCCCCGAGTCCTCCTCACCTCCTTCAGGTTCCGGAAGAGAAGGTCATTGTTTTTATCCAGAAACCCTGCGAGGAGAGAGAACATGTGAGCTGAGGAAGAGTCACCCCCTCCCTGCCCACTGAGGGGCCCCAGCCCCAGAAGCCTCACCAGTCACGCTGTAGGTTACTTCCCCTGCATAGTGCAGAAGGCGGAACTCCCCACGGCCCAGAGATTTCCTGGTCCGCTGGTCAGCCAGCTTGTGCCTGGGGGTGACAGGGAGAGGAAGCTACAGCTTGAGGCCTGAGCCATGCTCCCTGCCTGCTGAAGAGTCTGAGAGGAAACAGACCTCTAGGAAGGAGCAGGCATGCTCAGAGCCCACAGCCCATCCTGTGCAGCCCATCCTGTGCAGGGAGTCCAGAGGAGGTAGATGGCCTTGCCCAGGGCCACACCCGGGAGTCTGGCCCCCGCTCTGCAGGACACACTGGGCAGAGGGTTCCGCTCAGGGCCTCTGGCTGCTGCATGACTGCTCAGAGGGTTGAGCACGGCCCACTATGTTTTAAGAATAGAATCTGCCCCCAAGAGATTAGTTACTAGTAAGTCTTAAGCATGTGTATACCCTTTGGCCCATTTTCTATATTTAAAAAACAATGCTCACTAGAGGATACATGTTTTTTTAAATTCTATTTTCTCTTATTACTAGAGGCCCAATGCACAAAAATTCATGCAAGAGGAGGCCTTCCTCCCCCCGGCTGCCGGCACCCGGGCGGCTTCCCTCTCAGGCCCCTGCCAGGCACCAGGGACCCGGCTGGCTCCCCTCCTCAGGCCCCCGCCAGGCACCGGGGACCCGGGCGGCTTCCCTCTCAGGCCCCCGCCAGGCACCAGGGACCCGGGCGGCTTCCCTCCACAGGCACTGGGGACCCGGCTGGCTTCCCTCCTGCCCAGGCTTCATCAGGAAGGACGTCCGGAAAACATCCGGTCTAATTAGCATATTACCCTTTTATTATCATAGAAGATTATTATTTTTTAAGCCTCACTCGAGGGCATGTTTAGAGAGAGTAAGAGGGAGAGAGACACATACAGAGAGAGAGAGGAGAGAGAGAGGGAAGGAGGGGGGGAGAGAGCGAGTGAGAGAAAACCATCAATGAGAGAGAGAGAGAGAGGAAAAACCATCAATGAGAGAGAGAGAGAGAGAGCCATCAATGTGAGAGAGAAACATCTCCCAACGAGGGTTTGAACCTGCAACCCAGATATGTGCTCTGACTAGGAATCGAATTGGCCACCATTTAGTGCAGACCAAAAAGCTACGTTTTGTCTTGAACTGTTATTTAGAGAGAGGGGAAGGGAGAAGGAGGAAAGGGAAGAAGAAAAGGAGGGGGAGGGAGGGAGAGAAGGAGGGAGGAGAGAAAGAAACATCTATTGGTTGCCTCACATACATGCCCTGACTGGGATCGAACCCACAACCTAGGTATGTGCCTTAACTGGGAATCAAACCCACAAACTTTGAGTGCACAGAATGACAGTCCAACCACTGAGCCACACCAGCCTAGGCCCATTTTCTACTTTTAAGAACTATTTCAAGCAACTAACCGGAGACACAGGCAGAGGGTTAAGGCACAAAGATGTCTGTGGCAGCCTTGTTATCAAGCACAAGCCGAAGGCCCCCAGAGGCGGGGTAAGAGCCATGGGTTATCTGTGGATTAGAGCCATGAGAGCAAGCATTCTGAGGAACTCTCCTGACGATACAGGAAAATACTGAAAGACAGAACACTGCCCTGAGCCTTCTCCAGTAAGCCCTCACGTAGTGTCATTGATGGGGTTCTGTGACTTTAAATGAAAGGACACGTAACAAAAAGCAGTTTTACCCAGAGGCTGATTGATATAAACAAGAATGAAGTTCCCACAACATCTCATCAATGGTGTGACAAAACAACACTGAATGAAACAACATTCTCAACCATGGGGGGAAAAACGGTACAGAAAAAAGGCAGGAAGGAAATGCCTCGAATTGTTAGCAGCGATGGCCTCTGGGTGACAGGACTACGAGTGGCTTTTGCACACATTCCAGCGTTTCTCTAACAAGCAACGTTATTTTTACAACCAGGAAAAGGGTTTTACGTACCATGAAGCAAACACGCGTAGGGCTCTGGCATTTGCAGGCCTGGGACTGGTCCCAGTGGGGTGACTTACTAGATGGCAGGTAACCTTGGCAAAGGACTCCTCTCTGAGCCTCAGTCAGAGGAGCAGCACCAGGAGCGCCTCCCGAGGCTCAGGTCAGAGATGGTGTGCACAGACCGTGCGGGACAGAGCTGGGCAGCGGGGCTGCTTCTCCCTCGCCCCACTTTCAGGGACGAGTTAAATAAGAAGCTACTTCCAAATAAAGGAAGCTAAACAATCTCGGCAAGTTTCTTTCCTTTTTTTTTTTTTTTTAAGTATGTTTTTACTGATTTCAGAGAGGAAGGGAGAGGGAGAGATTGAAATATCAGTGATGAAAGAGTATCATTGACCAGCTGCCTCCTGCACGTCCCACACATGTGCCCTGACAGGGAATCGAACGGTGACCTCCTGGTTCATAGGTCAATGCTCAACCCCTAAGCCACGCTGGCTGGGCCTTCGCAAAAAAAGAACGAGGAGGGAGCCACGCTCCTGGCTTTTCCTCTGTGGCTGTAAGGTGAGCTGCGGCTCTGTGCGCCTCCTAACTCAGCCCTCCTCTGGCACCTCCTGGGGCTGATATTTTAATTGTGGGGGGATCCCAGGCTCCCGCAGGTTCTACGGGAGTGAGCCCTCACCCCCACTCACGTCAGGAAGTGCGGGTGGTGCTTGATGGTGTCCTCCAGCTTCTCCAGGAAGGTCAGGTCTGTGGCCTCCCCGGGGCGCAGGCACTCCTCGTCCTGGGGGTGTGGCACAGAGTGATGGACGTGTCAACGGAGGGGCCGGAGAGGTAGTTTAGGGGCACCATGCAGGAGGCAGAGACACGGGGGAAGGGGGAAGGCCGACGGGACCTCCTGGGGACAGCTTCCAGATTAGCCAGCACCTCCCCTCACCGTCATGCAGAGCCCTGCCCTGACCCTGCTCAGCCCCAGACTCTGGCCCTCCGCGGACCGGCCCAGAGAGGAAGGCGAAGGAGTGATGTCCTCCCACCCGGCCCCCACGTGAGGCCTTGGAGCAGGGGTCCTCTAACTAAAGTGGGGGCCAGATCACGGTCCCTCAGAGAGCTGGAGGGCCGGACTATATGAACTACTAATTCCTACTGTAACACCTCGGCTGCGCTCACTGCCCAAAAAACCTGGCGGGCCGGATCAGACTCCTCTGCGGGCCACATGTGGCCCGCGGGCCGTAGTTTGAAGACTCCTGCCTTGGAGGAACAGATGACTCACCAAGATGGAAATGATGCCCTTGAATTTCTCCTCGACCAGATCGCAGATGATCTTGTTGTTGAAATACTGGACAGGCTCCCACTGAGGGGAAGGGGAAGGGGAAGGAGGGCGTCACACGGGTCCAGGGGGCTCCCCGGGGACGGACCCGGGCTTCCTGGGAACCCGCAGGCTGCACTCACCGCGATGCCCTCCGCCTCGTACTCCTCCTGCTCTGACTTGAGGGTGAGCTCGATGAACAGCTGCTGCAGCTTCTCGTTGCAGTAATTGATGCAGAACTGCTCGAAGCTGTGAGGAAAGCGGGGAGACCACAGGAGCTCGAGGTGGCCACAGGCCGGGTGAGGGGAGGAGGGCCGGGCCCTGAGCTGATATGGGAAGAAACACCGTTCAGGACCCGGGATGCTGGGAAACCACTGACAGGAATCGGAGAGGCGGGCAGCGGAGGCGAAGGCCGGGACAGAGGGACGAGAGGATGCCAGGCAGGAGGGAGAGGGCACTGACCTGTTGTTCTGAAACACCTCGAAGCCATAAATGTCCAGGAGCCCGAGGACTGTGGTGCTCCGCCAGCTGGGGCTCTGGGCATCCTAGGGACATTCAACCAGGAGCGTGGGTGCCAACGCCTGCCAGCCCCCAGAGCCTGGGCCCAGGCCGCCCTGGACCGCCTCCCGCTGCCTCGGGAGCAGCCTGCACCGTGCCCTCACCTTGGAGGCCAACGACCTGTTGATCTTCCCAACCAGCCAGGTGAAAGTGCGACTGTACACGGCCTTGGCGAGGGCGTCTCGGGCGTAGGCGGCCTGCTCCAGGTTCAGCGGGCTCAGGAGCTGCACGTGTGGTGACACAGGGAGATGAACGCTGAGACCCCCCTCCACCCACCCCTCTGGGTTCAGGTCGAACACCAGGAAACTATGCGTACTTGCCCTCCTGCTGGGGGCGGGGGGCGCGCAGATCGGACACAGGTGAGAACACAGTGACCCCACCAGAGGGAAAGAGGTACGTGGACAAGAGGCCCCATTCCTAGAGGTCACCCTCCTGTGTGGCCTGGGCCCGCCCCCTGTGCCTCTGAGCCAGCTGCCTTCCGTCCTTCCAGCATGGCTGAGAGGGCCAGCTAGCGGACCGGGGGAGGGGGCAATGATGGCTGGGGGCTGCCTTATCCCTGCACCCCTCCCCCCACCTCCTGAGGCAAGGCCTGGCTCACCTCTTCGCCCTTGGCGGTGATCTTCCTGTGCGTCAGGGCTTCCCGAAATGTGGCGCCGTCCACGCCAAGGAGCTGTCAAGAGGGCGGGGCGTGGTGAGGGTGTCCTTCCCCTCCCCCAGCGGCTCTGCCCTCGCCCTCTGCGCACCCCGCTTACCCTGGTCAGGTACTTGAACTGGTTCTCGCTGGTGACCTGGGCGTTGCTCTCCTCATCGGCAGCAAAGTGGAGGTTGCCCAAATGCAGGACGCTGGCCACGATGCTCAGCAGGTCCTGGGGGACGGGCAGGGGCAGATGGGAGGCCCAGGAGGGCACCCGGGGTGTGGGGACGGAGCAGGGAGTGGGAGACGACGTGTTTGCGAGGAGAAGGGGGATCTGAGTAGATGGGGCGGTAAGAGTGGGCTGGGATCTTCAGGGGGTGACCAGAGGAAAGGGGGCCCCCAGCAGAGGCCTCACCTCCACTTCGTCCTCCGTGAAGTTGATGACCGAGAGAGCCTTCCTGACGACCTTCCAGTCGTTCTTGTCGTTGATGGAGGAGACTTTGGCACACTGGCCCTGGAGGAGGGGCAAAGCTGGGTGGCCAGCCCTGGCGCCCGCTGCTCCCGGGGGCACCGCCCGGCCACCACCTCACCTTCACCAGGTACAGGTAGCTCTGGGGGTTGCGCTCCAGGCCCAGCCGGCGCAGCGTCTCCTCCTCGCCGCCCTCCAGCAGCTGGTAGAAGATGTGGAAGTTCCGCTCCCCGTGGTTCTGGTGGACCACGCGGGACTTCTCCAGGAGGTAACTGAGGATGTGGCCGCCCACAGGGGCCCCCTGTGGGCAGGGCAGAACGGGGGCCGCTCAGGGGGATGGGCGTGGGGCCCATCTTCCCCTCCCCCCCGCCGTCTCGGGTCTAATCCCAGTTCTGCCTCTGAGCGCATGGGACCCGGGAAGCCCTCAGCGGCCTCAGCTTCTTCCTCTCAGGATAGAGGACACTGACCCCCATCTACACGTCAGCTCCATCTGGACGTACCACAGGCCCCTCAGACCCCACAGCCTGAAACCGCGCTGCGCTCCGGCTCCTCGGCTAGCTCTGCTGTCTCCATCTTGGCCAATGGCTACTTCATCCTCCCGGGCGCTCAGGCCAAGGAGCCTGCAGGCCTCTCAACCCCTCAGTCCATCAGTCCCGCGGCCTTAACCTTCCCAACCCCAGAGGCCAGCTGCTCAGCACCTCCACTGCCACCGCGCTGCTTCCAGCCGCAGTCACGTCATCTAGATTATTCTATCAGCGTCCTTACTGGTTCCCCTGCTTCTCTGACCACCTCGTCTCAACAAAGCAGCCCAAACGGCCTTTTCCAGAGGAAGTCAGATCCTGACACACTTCTGCTCCCAATCTTCTGATGGCCCCTTTCCACTTGGAGTTAATAATATATTTAAAGGGCAGCTGCCCCCACCCTGTACCTTGTTTTTTTGTTTATTTTTTTTGCCATGGCGACACTTGTCACCTACATCACCTTTTTCTGCTTTCTGACCGTCTCCCCTAAAGCAGGGTTTTTGTCTGTTCTGTCTCAGTGCTGCAGTACCAGCATCGGGCACAGTGCCTGGCACACAGCAGGGGCTCACTAAGTGCCTACTGGACGGACTCCGGCCCTGCCCTGGCGCCCCACGGGTACCTTGAAATCAAACTGCACGTCCATGTACTTCCCGAACCGGCTGGAGTTATCGTTCCGGAGGGTCTTGGCGTTGCCGAAGGCCTAGGAGCAGACGGGCATGAGGGTGCGGCCTTCTGCCCCCGCCTCGCCCCCTCAGAGGCAGCAGGCCCTCACCTCCAGCACAGGGTTGCTCTGCAGCAGCCGGTCCCGCACGGCACCGCCCCGCTCAGGGGCCGGGCAGGTCTCGGCGTAGAACTGCAGCAGCCGCTTGGTGGCCTCCGTCTTGCCCGCCCCGCTCTCCCCGGAGATCATCACCGCCTGGTCCCGGCGCTCGGTGCGCAGCGCCCGGTACACCGTGTCGGCCACCGCGAACCTGGGGCAGAAGCCGGTCAGGGGCTCAGGTGTACGAGCTGGAGCAGCTGGGGCGAGTCCGGCAGGCGGGTCAGGGAGAGGGCACCTCCATATCTGCCTGGGTTCTCTTGTGGGTGGGAGCTGCTTGTACCCCTGAGGACAGGGACTGGGGAACCCTCAAGGGTGTGGGTGGAGGGAGGTTCTTCACAGCCGTGGAGGGGGGTCCCTCTCCATTTTGAGTATGTGCTGCCTAAGCGAGCGCTGGACACGGTCACTCTCAGAGGATCACTCAGGAGTGTGTGTGTGGGGGTGTTGCAGGTCATTCAGGTAGAGGTTGGGGTCCCTCACAGGTAGGGATGGAGGCCCCCAGAGGTAGGGGCCAGAGGGTCACTAAGGCTGGGGGCCATGCCAGGTGCCGTTGGGCAAGTAAGCCATGAGTGAGAATGAGCTGGGTGGGGGCTGGGGAGGTCCCGATCAGATGGGGCTGATCCATCTCAGCGGGGATGGAGTGGGTCCAGGGTGAGGCACTGGGGACGCCTCACAGCTGTGACCAGTGCTTCATCCAAAATGGGGAGTCCGTCAGGGTCGTTTCAGAGTGCGGGCCGGGGGGTCACTCACAGGTGGGGCGGCACCTCGTAGAAGCTGACGCCGCGGTAGCGCTCCATGTGCTGCCGGCTGTAGATCTGCAGGTCCCGGTAGGGGTTCACAGAGACCAGGACCGGGCCGATGTAGGTCTGGGGTGGGGGGGGGAGGGTGAGGACTCTCTCCCAGAGGCCCCTGGTGCCTCTCTGCCCCTCCGTCCTGCCTCTGGCCCCCGGCAGCCCCGCCGCCTCCCCCCTCGGGCCTCACGTAGATGAGGTTCTCCCGGAACCGCCGCCGCAGGTTCTCGATGAAGGCCGCCTCACTGGTGAAGTTCTCCAGCAGCACGAAGTCCTGCACCCCCACCCGGTCCCGGGCGGTCAGGGCGCTCTCCATGGTCACCCGCACCCCGTTGCTGCCCAGGGCCTGCGGGGAACGAGCCACGGGCAAGGGTGAGGGCCAGGAGGGTAAGGTCAGGTCACGTCTGCCTCCACCACAGCCTGTGGGGCTGAGTGGGCCGCCAGGGGCAGGCGGACACGGGAGGCCAGGACACGGGACACGGGAGAAGGACTACGCTGTATGGACACGGGGCCTGGGCGGCAGGAAGCCGGCACATGGGACACCGAGGACACAGGCAGGTCACCCAGAACAGAGACCTCATGGGGGCAGGGACCGGGACACAGACCCCGGGACACAGAGGACTGAGGAGCGAGTCCACCGGATCCGGGGGGGGCTAGTTCTGTGTAGAGGAAGGGGGGTCAAGAGAAGGAACTCCTGGAATCCCAGAAGAAAAGCTCTGTTGACCTTGGACAAATCCCCTCCCCTCCTAGGGTGGCTTCCGCCTGAGGAGGAGGAGCTGAGTGAGACCAGGTGACTCCAGGTCCCGCTCTGGGCCACAGGTGACAGGTGTTGTTGGAGGACAGATGGCTCGGAGAGAATTCTGGCAGGGTAGGCCCGCCTCTCCCACCCCCACCCGCCAAAATCTCAGGGGGAGAATCTGGAGACCAAGCAAGAGGCCACCCTCAGCCCCTGTGCAGGAGCGGGCCGCCCAGGGGCCTCCGGTCCAGCTGGACTCCACACTCACCCCGTAAGGGGGGCCGCCCTCCCGGAGCTGGGCCACACCCTCCCCATCAGCTGCCAGCTCCCCAGACACCCTCCTCCTCTGGGAGCCGAGAGGCCTCAGGGGGCGGGGGTTTCACCTCGGAAAGCCCAGCTGCCGCCTCCAGCCGCCTGGGCCCCCAGTGGGGAGGGAGAGGGGCCGGCTGGAGGGGGCCGTCCCCCCAGGACACACTCTTTGCTGGGGCTCCAGGAAACTGATACCCAAAGTGTCAGGGGTCCGAGAACAGCAAGGGGGCAGTGGTGGCGGTGAGTTTAGGTCCCAAAGCTGGCAACAGGTCGTTTCCCACCCCAGTCCCCCCCAGACCTCTCGTCAGGGGGACCCTCTGGGTCTGGCCAGGGGCCTGCCACGCCCCGGCCTGTCCCTGCCTCCTCCGCCCCATCCTGCCCCGGAGCAAATCTGGCCGGAGCCCCCACCCCTCCGCCCCCTTCGCCCCCGGGGTGCCGGGTCCGAGCGCTCGGCCTCCCCCGCGAGCTGGGAGCCGGGGCCCAGGCCCGCGCGCCCCGCGGCCCTCCCGCCTCGGCCTCCTCCCCCTGCAACTTCCCGGGACGTTTTTCCACCCGAATCCCTGCGCCGCGCCCGCTTCCTGGCGGGGCCGGGCGCCGCCGCCGCGAGGCCCAGGGCCGCCGGGACCCCCGCCCTCCCGCCCCGCTCACCGACGCCCGGTAGCGCATCCTGCCGCCGCCGCGCCCCTCCCGCCGGTGCTCTCCCCCCGGCTCCGCCGGCGTCAACGAGGGAGGGGCCGCCCCGCCCCCGCCCGCCCCTCCGCGGCCCGGGCTCCCCCGCCCGCCCCCGCCCCCGCCCCCTGGGCTCGGACCGGGGACCCGCAGGTGGGGTTGGGGTTTGGGGGGCTGAGGGTACTCTGGGGGGAGGGCGCGGGGCGGGGGCCGCGGGCAGGGAGCCGCCGGGGCCGGGGTTTCCCGGAGGGACGTCGTTGGCTCCGGGGTGGGGCCCGGAACCCGCGCGGCCGCCGCGTCTACACCGGCCCGGAGCCCACTTCCGGGCGGGGACTGCCCGGCGCCCCCGGAGCCCACTTCCGGGCGGGGTCTGCCCGGCGCCCCCGGCGGGCGCGGGGCGAGGGCTGCGGCCGGGACCCGGAGGAAGCGGGACTTCCCTCCCCTCCCCGGCCCTCCCGGCCCGGCGAAGTTAAAAATAGAGCGAAATGCCCAAATACGGCCGGCGCCCGGCGGGCGGAGCTCCGCGGCCGGCCGCCCCGACCCTCGCCCCCGCGGGGGTGGCCGCGTCCTTAGCCCGGAGGAGCGCCTTCGCTCCCCGTCTCCGCGGCCGGAGCACAGGGGGAGCCGCAGGCGCCAGGCCCGGAGCGGGGCGGGCCTCCGGGAGGTCCGTGTCCCACCGGGAAGCCCACGCCGGCTTCCAGCCCGGGACCAGCACCCTCCTCCTCCGTCCCAATCACACAACCCGGGCCTGGGGCCCCTCCAAATACCTCCACACGTTGTGCCCAGGACACCCCCTCCCACACCAACACCACCCCCCTGGATGCGGGGAGCACACCCCGAGGGCGAACCGGGACAGGCCCTGCCTGGCGGGGGGCATGGCCGGAGCCTGCGGAAGGTGCGGGTTCACTGAGCTGTTTGCTGAAGCCCCTTCCCCCCAGGCCCGCACCTGCCGGAGGGGGAGGCCCAGCCCTAACGCACCGCGCCGCCTCGGTGAGCGCCTCCTCCCTCCCTCCCTCGGCCACACCTTCACTCCGCGCGGGCCCGGGGCGGCCCCGTCCGCTGGTGGAGCCCCTCAGCCTGCCCCCCGCTTATCACAAAGGCTCCAGCAGCACCCCCGCTTCCTCTCCCCCTGCAGCAAGGACCCGAGGCGCAATACTGGGCACTGGCTCATCGTTGCGGGGAGAAGGCAGCCCGGACCCCACACCCCAGGGCACCCCATCTCGGTCCCGGGCTCCCGGGGGTGGAGTGGGGTGTGGCTGCGGCAGGTGCGGGCTCCAGCCTCGTTATCTCGAGAACAACAGCGCGGCCGGAGCCGCGACCCGAGGGAACCCGCGAGGCGGGCGCCAGCTGGGAGATGGGGCCCCGGGAAGGGGCGAGGGGACCCGGTGCCACCGCGCAGCTGGGAGGTGATGGGCGCGGAGGGGCGATGGGGGGCGCGGAGGGGGGGTGGGGGGCGCGGAGGGGGGTGGGGGGCAGGGGGGGATATGAAACCCCACCCACAGGCCGGGCTCAGGGGGGGGGCGCCCCAAGGTTCAACTCCAGAGCGAGCGGGGGCGGAGAAGGGGCTCAGGGGGAGGGAAGGGGTCCCCAGTGGGGAGCGGGGCGGCTCCGGGACCCCAGGGGCGAAGCCGGAGGGGCGGGCCTGGCGGTGGAGTGTCCGCCCCGCCCGCCGCCGCGTCAGGCCGCTGGAATGAGGGGAATCCGCGCGCGGAGGGTCCGGCCGGCCATCCCCCACCGGGGCCGCGGCGCCGCATTCCCGGGATGCCCGCTGGCGCCCGTGGCCGCCGCCCGGCGGCGGAAGGAGGGGGTGTCTCCGCCGCTGCGTGGGCGGCGGGCGGGCTCCGGCTCCCACCCCAGCCCAGCCCGCCGGCCGCCCCGCCTCCCCGGGAGAGGAGTCAGCCAGCGGCGGGGAACCCAGGGTGAGTTTGGGGCACCCTGCGTCCTGAGCGCTGTCTTAGGGTGCTCTCTTCAAGCCCCCGGCCAAGCCATGAGTCTGTGTTGTTATTCCCATTCTACAGACGGGGAAACTGAGGCTGGCAGATGGATGTCTGATTAAGACGTCGGGACTAGTAAAAGGAGGGGTGGGATTGGAACCGGGACCTCCAACACTCACCAGTCACCCAGGGCTGCCCTGGAAGAGTGAGACCAGTGTAGGGCTGGCAGGTTCCCACACTTATTCGTAAGGGTTAATAGGCGTGACCTTTCTCGGTGACCCCATGGCTGTAGTGCCCAGTGCACCTGCTGCTGTGGTGTTGCTATTGACACGTAGACTTTAGGAGGAGCAGCTAGGGAGTGTGGGCCGGCCCTGGGCCTAGGGGCTGGGGTGCAGCCATGGCCTCTGAGTGACCTAGGACCCATTTTTCAAGGCTGCTTCCGGGTCTCCTCCCACCTGGGGAGATGCTTCCAGCAAACCTGGACCATCCAGTGCCATTACCTAGTATGGGTCAGGTGCCCCCAAGTCTGACCCCTGGAGAAGTGGGGAGGTCAGTGGGCAGCCTCCAATGTCCCCCCAGCCCAGGGCCAGGGCCACGCCAGCCTGGAATGAGTGTTCTGAGGCCCTCCCCTCCCCATCACTGCTATCAGCTTACTTTCACTGAGGCAGCCGCAAGGCCTGTGGTGGCAGCCTCTCCCCGCAGCGCAGTGCTGGGAACAGAACAGGTGCTCCGTTTATAGCGATCACACACATTTTAGTCTGGGCCCAGGCAGCCCCACCAAGCACTGTTCCAGACTCAGGGGCACTGTTGTGAGGGGGCTTGGGGAGAAATGGTAGGGACTTAGGGGCTCCACCTGATGCCTCACAGGGCCCCAGTCAACCCTAGCTCCAGAACCATGGGCCTTTGGCCGGCAGACACCTCTCCCCGGGGGTCCAGATGAGGTAAACAGAGTACTTGGCCCCTGACCTACCTCCCAGTTCAATGTCCTCGAAGTAGAGAGGAGGGAGGCACCTGGCACACCACATGGCACCAAAGGGCCTGCCCTTCCTCCACTCCTCCCAGGAGTCACCAGCTGCTAAAACCTCTCCTCTGCCCCCACCCCCGCCTCCCGGTTCTGCCCCGGACATAGGCAGCAGCCTCCAAACTGGCCTCCCTGCCTCCTCCTGTGAATCCCTCTCCCCACAGCAGCCTGTGGTATTTACAAACACTCATGTTAACAGAGTGAAGGTTTACAGGCACCAGTCCATGTGCCACGCCGGCACCTCACATCCACTGCTCCTTGCATATGGACTCCAGTGGACCTCCTTGTCCTCAGTTTACCCTACTGCCCCCACCTTCTCGTGTGACCCTCTCCGGCCCCTACGCTCCTCATGCCTCCCCACCAGCCATGGCCAGAACCAGCGGCCCCCGCCCCTGCCACCACCAGCTGCCACACGTGGTGCTCTCAGCCTCCTGCCTTTGCACCTGCAATTTCCTTGGCCCTTGCTGCACTTCCCCTTCCCAACTGACTGGCTCTTAGTCATCCTTGAAGACTCAGCTCAGGTATCCCCTCCTCCAGAGCCCCTTTCCGGCTCCCTCCGAACACACAGCCCCTGGTCAGCCGCGCCCAGAAGGCTCCGGCCTGGCGCCGTGGGGGCTCCATAGCCCCCGTGGCCGCCGGGGGAATGAATGAAGCGCCGCCAGCCGTGCCAGCCGGAGGCCGGAGGTGCGGGCGGCCACTCATGGTCTCCTTCACCCCGAAGCCCCCCGCGGGCCGCGCACTCCCGCCGGCGCCGGCGGCCGGGGGCGGGGGACGGGAAGGGGCGGGGCTCCGGCGGCGGCTCCGGAACCCGGAGGCAGAGCCCGGCCAAAGGGCGTGCGGGGTGCCCGCCGGAGAGACCCCGGCCCCGGCCCGCGGCACCCGCAGCCTCTCAGCGTCCGCCGGGCCGGCCCTGGCGCCGCCGGCCCTGGGGTCCCGCACTCGCCGGGCCGACCCTCGGCCGCAGCGGCCGCGGCTTCCCGCACGGCGGCTCGGGGTGGCCTCCGCCCGGGGCCCGCCCGCTCCCCGCCCCGCCCGCCGGCGGAGGCTCCCGGGCCCCGCGGCTGCTCCCGCCCCGCGCCCGCGCCCCGCGGACCCACCGGCTCGGCGCTGTCGGCGTGCGGGCGGGGGCCGGGCTGGGCGGCGTGGCCGGCTCTGGAGTCCGCGGTCCCGGGCACGTTCTCCCCGCCCAGGGCCCGCCCGGGGCCGGGCCGCTCCTGTCGTCATCCCGGGCAGGGCCCAAACCCAGGCGCGCGCGCACCCAGCCGCCCCGCCCCGCCCCGCCCCGGGCCACCCGGCCCGCCCCGGGCCTGACCCCGGCCCTGGTCCGCGGGGACTGGGGGCCGCACACGCCGCCACCAGGTCCCAGGACGAGGGGTGCACACAAACACACCCCACACCCTACAACACTCTCTCTCTCTCCCCCTCCTTCTCTTTCCCTCCCTCCCTCCCTCCGTTCCTCTTTCCCTTCCTCTCTCCGCAGAGATGGGTGGGTGGGTGCGTCTGATGGGGTTCTCCCTTATCGTCCTAGGGCCCCTATGCACCCCCTCAGCAAACCCAACCCTGCTTGCGGGCTGAACCAGATGGGTTCTTCCCCATTTGTGGCTGCCTCTCCCCCTTCACCCTCGGAGCCACTGTTCTGAGCTGGCCAGTGCTCCGAGCCCACGGGAAGGGAAGGCATTGACTGAGCCTGTACTATGGCCCGGAGCTTTGCATGCACTAGTCCTTTGACCTCAGAGCAGCCCCGTCACCTCTGTGCTATGCCCAGTTCCTAGCCCAGCGCACTGAGGATCAGGGAGCAGGAGGAGAAGGGATTCAAACCCAGATTCCCTTTGAAAACGCTGCTCCTAGTGATGGTTACTAGTGGCGCTTAAAACCTTTCCCTCTCCTCCCTATTCCCCCTCTTGTCCAGTCTCCTCCTGGTCCACAAGGATTGGAACCCCTTTCCGCTGCTCACCTCTTCCCAGAGGTTTGCTGGAAAGAGGGCTGCGGGCCCGGGGGAGACACTGCCCCCCCTTCCTCCCACCCTCAGCACCCCAACTTACAAGTTTGCAAGGTCTGTAGGGGTGAACCACACGGATGATCTCCCCGGTGGGGATCAGCTCCACTTGCAGCGCCATTCCGCTTGTGGATTGCCAGCGTGCTGGGCACTGGGGCTTCTGGGCTGAGGCCTGCCTGCCTGCTCACTGGCTATCGCTGTCCGTCCGCACAGCCAGGAATCTGGTCTCACGCTGGGATGGCCACTTGGTTAAGCTTCAACTCCAGCCCCAGGGGATGTGTCTGGTCCAGCTCCTCAGGACACAGCTGGAGCAGCCCAGGTCTGATTGGGAGGCCTCTTGGCCCAGAGGGCTGGGGCAGGAAGAGGAGGGGCTGAGTGATGGAGGAAATGCCTGTTGTCCCAGGTAACCAGAGCCGCTGATAGAGCCACCCCTGGGGTACCCTGGGCTCTAGGTCAGAGGGTATGAGGCCTTTCCCCACAGCCGCTCTGTGGCTGGGCCTCTGCCCCTGCCCACTCACCGGTGTCTGCTGGAGAGCACACTGACCACTCCCCAAATGAAAATGCACATTCTGTCCAAGCCAAGAGGATCCATCAGTGAGCACTGCGCCTCCTGCATGCACCCCCCCCCCCCCCCCAATTTGCCTGCCTTGAGTTTGAAAGGCCAGGGCTGCTGGGGGCTGGCCATATTGGGAAGCGGGGCTGGCTGGCTGGAGAGGCAGGGGGGACACTGACTGCCCCCCCTCCCCCCGTACTACCCCCCTCTGGAGCTTCAACCACTTGGCATGCCGATGCCTGGGGTCCTTGGCTGTGGGCAGCCTTAGGCCTGCTGGCTCCTTACTTTTCCATTAGCACCCTCAGGTGCCCCCCACCCTGAATGTTCCTGTTTTGCTGTCTTTATTGTTGCTAAATCACCGCTGACACTTTCCTGGCCTGGGATTGAGCCCTTGGGTCTCCAGCCATTCCTTGAGGAAGTGAGAAGGGGAAGTGGCTGGGGGAAAGTGACCTTTCCAGAGGGAAGGCTGGCATGGGAGGGGTGAGGTCCAGCCATGGGCAGGCACCTTCCCCCAGGCTCCCTTCCCTTCCCTCACAGCTCTGCCAGCCCAGGAAAGACCAGCAAAGCTTCCTTCCTTCCTCCAGGAAGCACATCCATCCAGGGCAGGCTCATCCCCGGCAGACACACAATGGCCCTTATCAGCCGCCTCGGAGCCAGGCCGAGACCAGCACACACCAAGTCTCACATATTTCCTGTTTCCACCCAGTGGGTCAGGGCTGGGCCCAGAGCGGCCATATCCTGACTGGGGCCAAGAGGAGGGAAAGCACTCCCCCTTCCCCTCCCGCCTCACTCCCTGCTGGACTCACTCCTGCCAGGCTAGGAGGGTTCTGCCCCGAGAAGGGGGCTGTGAGAGGGAGGGCAGTGAGGCTTGGAGGGAGGGCAGGGGTGGGCATGCTCCACAAAGAGGAGAAACGGGGGGGGCCCCTGGCCTCAGCGGCCCTGGAGTTCCAGCCCCAGGGCTACGGGGACCATGAGGTGGGTATAGTGTTAGTTTGGGTGTTTTTGTGTGTGTACAATTGTTCTTTCACACATAGTTGTGAATAGTGCATTATTTTATTTTACAGACAACTGAGACTGGGTAGAGATAGAACTTTGATTCACACTGGTCTAACTCCTGTCTGATCCTGCACGGTACCACAGCTGCCTCCATCGTCCCACTCCTGAGCTGTGGTCTGGCAAATGCAGGGTAGTGGCAGCACCCATGATGGTGGTGCATGTGAGAAGAAATGAAGTAGCAAGTGCAAGGTTTCAGGATCTTTTTTTTTTTTTAAAGGTATATTTTATTGGGTTTTTATAGAGTTAGAAACATCAATGAGAGAGAAACATCGATCAGCTGCCTCTTGCACACCCCCTACCGGGGATGTGCCCCGCAACCAAGATACATGCCCTTGACCGGAATCTAACCCGGGACCTTTCAATCCGCAGGCTGACGCTCTATCCACTGAGCCAAACCAGTTTTGGCAAGCTTCAGGATCTTCAGGTGTGTGTGTGTGTGTGTGTGTATTGGGGGCAGGGATAAAGGTTACTATGGGAACCTCCGGGTAGGGAGCAGAAAGAAAAGACAGTGATGATTTTTTTTTTTTTTAAGCCTCACACAAGCATATTTTTTCCAATGATTTTTAGAGTGGAAGGAATGGGGGGAGAATCGTCCATGTGGGAGACATTGATTGGTTGCCTCCCACACGCCAGAGGCCAGGGATGGAGCCTGCAACCGAGGTATGTGTCCTTGACCTGGGACCCTTCAGTTCCAGGCCCGATGTTCCAACCACTGAGCCAAACTGGCTAGGGCGATGGTGACATTTTTGGATAGCTTAACTCTGGACCAAGGAGCAAAACTAAGGTCTGAGAGAGTGGCAGGTGAAGAGCCAGTGAGAGCGGAGAAAGCACCTTTTCTGACTCATCAGTTCTAAGAAACTCATTTTTTTTTTAAAATTTATTTTTTTACAGAGCGGAAGAAAGAGGGATAGAGAGTTAGAAACATCAATGAGAATCATCAATCAGCTGCCTCTTGCACACCCCCTTCTGGGGATGTGTCTGCAACCAAGGTACATGGCCTTGACCAGAATCGAACCTGGGACCTTTCAGTCCACAGGCTGTCGCTCTATCCACTGAGCCAAACCGGTTTCGGCAAGAAATCCATTCTATTAGTGCCCAATAGCATGCCTCAAGTGGGCCACGGACCAGAGGGTCACTATTCCAGACCCTCACCCCACTCCTGCCTGGGCAACATGTTCCGCTCAGACACACACAGGCTAGTCTGGACCTATAGGACTCTCATCCTGGAGTCTAGCAAGGGCCCAACACTATGTACCCCTTCCCACCATCATGAAGGAGTCACACACGTGTAAAAGCCATGTTTCTAATTATCACCCATGTAACAGACAACAGAGAGAACCAAGGCCCGCTGGGGGCTGGGGGCCTGTTCTCGATGGTACACGTGCTCCCGGGTGGAGCACAGAATGCAGAGCAGTCGCTGTGTTCCTCCGTTTCGGGTCGCAGGGCTTGTGTGACAGTCACAGAGCGGCTCCCTGAGTGTCTTTTCCTGGGAGAGGGCCGCTGAGTCACCGGTGGCCGGAGGCAAGTGGTAGGAGTGGGGACAGCCATGTCCACTCAGCACTGGAGAATGCTCCCTGGAGACCCCCAGGGCCAGAGTCTCCAAAACGTCTTGATTCCAGCCTTCCTCTCTGCCTGCCCCCACCTCTAGGTCCCAGGTGTCTAGAGAGAGGGCAGGTTTCTGGTTAATGACTTCAGGCAAGGGTGGGGCAGATGAGCTGGGCCGGACAAAGACCCCGTGGAAACTTGGAGGCCTCCACCAGATCCACCAGCAGAAGTGACCCTGGGTCCAGTTCTCTGCTCAGGTCCTGGACGTCCTGGGTCACACTCCATGAGTACAGGCAGGACACCCAACCTGGGTGACGGGCCCTCCATCCTGCCCACTCGGTCATACCGCTTCTGTTCAAAACAAGGCTCTCAGACCTTCTTCCTGTCCCTCAGGGAGACAGGCAATGAGACGCCAAGACTCCTGGAACCCAGTGCTGCTTGCACCAACCAGTCTATGGAGCCTGTACAAATGTGAGCGTCTGCCTCCCGTCCCTCCTCCCCCCAACCCCGGGCAGCTTGAGGCCCAGGATGGAGTGGAAGAATGCAGGCCTGTGCCAGATGGGGCATGTGCCTGGCAGGCCTGCTTGGGCAGGACTGGAAGTGTGCGTGGGGAAAAGCAAGAAACGAGCTGTAAGCCGGAGGGCTCCGCCCCTCCCACATCCAGTGGACTGCCCCCAGGTCTTCACTGTAGACAAATTAGCTGGTTTCAATCAGCTCAGCAAAAAACCTGTATTTGAGTGGCCAATGCCAGAGATCTGGACTGGAGAGAGCAAAGGAGTGTGGCGAGAACTCCCCTGGGAGGGGAAGGATACTTGCTGCCTCCCCAGGGGGCTGGCTGGGCCCCCAGCACTGCTGGAAGGGGTGAGCAGAGCTGGCCGCCAGCTCTGGCCTCCGCCCTGGATTCCCCTCATCGAGGCTCACATCTGTGGTTGGACTTCACCCAGCGGGTCCTCCTCCAAGAAGGCGTGGATCTGTGGTGATGAGACAGGCAGTGAGCGGAAGGGGAGAGAGCAGGTCTTCCCCCGGATTGCTCCATCACGGGTATCCCCCACCCGCTGCCGCTGCGGGTACAGGTGGGCTCCTGGGCCTGGGGCCTCAGGGAATGGAAGAGGGGCTCAAGTCCTCTGGGTCCTCCCCCTTCCCCCACCTCGTTACCTTGAACGGATTGCTTATCCCCACCACGGAACGCAGACTGTTGCTATAGTAACAGAGGAGAAACTGATCTTCAGTCTCGGGAATATCGCTCATGTTGATGTAAACCTGGAGGGGAGGATGGACAGGAATGGGGTCAGCTCCCAGGGCCCTGAGCCCCACCCAGCTCTTAGCAACTAGTTATGCCGCAGCCAAGCCCACCCGCTGGGGTGTGGGACACCTGTCTCAGGAAGGGGCAGGTACCTGGTTCAACCCGTCGCTGATTGAGACCTGGTTGTCCCTGACCCAGACATAGGACACGTAGTCATTAATGTGGCGAAGCCCCACCTGTGGGAAGGGGGATTGGGCTGTCAGTAGTCAGGGGGGGCGAGGGGGTACACAGAACCTACAGCAAATCCTAAGGAGAGGAGGTCTCATTCCTAGGTCTGGCTATCATACTGTACACCAGGCGTCTTCAAACTACAGCCCGCGGGCCACATGCGGCCCGCAGAGGAGTCTGATCCGGCCCGCCAGGTTTTTTGGGCAGTGAGCGCAGCCGAGGTGTTACAGTAGGAATTAGTAGTTCATATAGTCCGGCCCTCCAGCTCTCGGAGGGACCGTGATCTGGCCCCCACTTTAAGGACCCCTGCTGTACACCCTCCCCTTCACTGACAGCCCCTGGGTGAGCTCTTTAGTCTCTGTGTCCAGCTCCCACAAGCCCTCAGGATGGATAAACCAGAGAGGGAGGGGTGATGGGATTCCCGGCCTCGCCCCCACATCACCTTGTACAGTCCAATCCAGTCCCAGGGGCTGCTGGGGAAGTCCTGGGTCAGAGAGTAGTTGATAAGCATAGCGTTCTCCACAGCCCACAGGGCCTCTGGCTTCAGGGTGATCAGTGGGACAGATACCAACGGCTTCAGCTACACATAGGGGCGGGGAAGGGGTTGACAATCCAGAGCATCATTCCCTTCCCTGAGATAAATGTCCTTGTTGTGCCCTCCCAACACGTAAGGGTCGGAAGAGGGGCACGGGGTGGTGGGCACAGAAT